GTGTAGTGTGCTGGGTGGACATAAGAGTCGCTGTACTTAAGATGAAGAAGAACGTTTTAATGGAGGGAGGAGAAACGTTCATTATAATAGGTGTATTAAATTAAAAAAAACCTTAAATAATACAAAGAAAGGAAACCTGATCTGTCAGGCGGAAGCCGTTGTGTGTTGGTGACTTATTGTAAAAAGAAGTTTCTTTGTAAAATATGGTGAGTGGTGTGCATGGGAAGCTGGTAGCCTTTCTCAATGAGCGTTATGCAGATTTAAAGGTATCGTCAGTTTATATAAGCTTAAGTTCAGAAGCAGACGGCTCTAAATGCACTGTTTCCCTATGTAGACGGTAAAATCACTTTGTGAACTGTTTTATGTTTCTGTGCTGTAAACTAAAGTACAATTGGATTAAGAGCTTTCAGCCCTTTAGGTCTTGTTGCAAAGACATTTTAAATTTATCATTCTCGTTGTCGGTCTGTTCACTGTGGATTCTCCAACACATAAACACAGTATTTAATGTGTCTTACTGACTGGCTGACGAAGTAACAAACTGCCTGGCTTGTCAACGACTCTCGTTTTAACACTGCTTACAAAAGAGACCGCTGGAGGACTACGTCCTGAGCCAGTTAAGTTAAATCAAACTTATCTTATTTTCAACATTGTATAATCTTGTACGTTGTTAATCAACGTTTCGAAGGAATATATTGCTTCCATCTACAGGGTAGTAATTAAATATTTGTTTTTGGAAAGTGGGTTTTGTGAGAAAGGTCTTCTTTCATACCAACCTAGACCTTCTTTCTTGTCGTGATACTTGCGTGTACTCAGTAGTTGATTTAATGCAGCCTCTAGTTTCCCCTAAAACCCTACTGTCGTACTGATGAAGGCACCGCCTTCGGTAATAACAGGCGAATGTCGTTTGTGTGTTAATGATCAGGCCGTTTCCTCGTTCTATTCAGATTCACAGTTCGTGTCCAGAGGGCGTCTCATTGATTGTGGTTCAGATACTGATCTGCCTTTTAATCTTGTATTGATCGTCTTCATGAAGTCGGACGCTCAGGACTTTCCTACAGACGTGAAACCCAATCACCGGTTAAATTTAATTCCGGAACACAATCCGTCCCTTTTAGTTTCTCTCCTGCTACACGGCTCACTGTACAAAGTGATGTTACATTCACAACAGTTTCCCAACCAAAATATAGTTTCCACTTCTTGTTTCCCCATTTCACCATAACAGTAGTCATGTTCAGTATGCTGCAACCAGCTCAGTCGGTAAAATGACTTACTAAGATCTGAACGATCCAGATTTCATTACCGGCATGGTCAGCGATTTTGTCCTCTACCGGTGTGCGCAAATCGACTGTGCGGCCACGAGTATCGAGAGCTTCTTATTCCAGGGTTAAAACGGTCGGAGTGTGAAACTGATTACACCATCTAATGCCGATGTGTTTCATATTTATAAATTTACCTTCAACTCCCCTAACTAACTAACTAACTAACCCCCTGGTAGCAGAACCCACAGGCTCAACACCGACAACACCAAAGCCCGCAACCGGAGACGATCCTGAGACAAATCCATCCATTTGCGATCCATAACGGCCCACCTCCTTAAGATCCATTTTCATATTATCCTCCCATCTCCTTCTTGGTCTTCCCAGTGGTCGTTTTGCAGAAGGATTTCCAACAAAAATTCTGTATGCCCCCATTGCCTCCTCATGCGTACTACATGTCCAGCCCATCGGTGCCTCCTAGATTACGCTATCCTCACTATACTAGGTGACCTGTACAATTCACGCAGCTCCATGTATGTATGTATGTATGTATGTATGTATGTATGTATGTATGTATGTATGTATGTATGTATTATGTATGTATGTATTATGTATGTATGTATTATGTATGTATGTATTATGTATGTATGTATTATGTATGTATGTATTATGTATGTATGTATTATGTATGTATGTATTATGTATGTATGTATTATGTATGTATGTATTATGTATGTATGTATTATGTATGTATGTATTATGTATGTATGTATTATGTATGTATGTATTATGTATGTATGTATTATGTATGTATGTATGTTTTTTGGATCTCACAATAAATAGCGATTGGTTTCTTAAAATTGAACAGAGTGATTCTTCAAATTTATTTAGATGACTAATGAAAATGTTTAAATATTACAGGCATGTAGCACGATATTTACTTCGGTCTTCATATGGTTGATGCGCTTGGTTTCGCTTCTTAACTCTCCTGAACTCATCTGTCTTTGTCGCACACGAAGACGATATCCATTGCGTACATAGACCACTTTGCTCCTGACACCGAAAACCACACCTATATAAAAAAGACACGATTCATGAATCAAAAGCCACTCTGCCTGTAATTCTTGTCTCCTACAACCTTTGTGGAGGTGGCGATGGGGGTGGTGATGATGGAGGCGACAAGGACCTCGGAAACGTCGGTAAACTTCTATCACACTATACGACACTACAATCCAGAATAGAGTCATCTTTGTACTCACCGCCGAGGTGTGTATTTTCTTCAACCCCATGTCGATGTGTGGGGGTAATTTAAGTTTCCTCGTTGCCTTGATTGCTTAATTGTCATCACCTGTACCCACACACACCGTTCTGCCAGTACGGGGCATCTAGCTATTGAAAATGCTGAGGTAATGGACCTCTCAGACTCTAGTTCCAGATAGGAGTGATTTAAAAAGCATCTACATTTCATCTTTCTTACGTATTTCTATGCCATTTTACGCATAGTTTCAGAACAGGCGAAAAGCCATCTAAGTCCACATTTATAATTTATAATTAAATTATCTGTTAGGCATTCGTGTTAGCAACCCACCTAGTTGACGTGACCTAACCTTAGGAGTTAATCATCTTACATATGTTTACAAATATTTTATTTTTTAAAGTGTAATGTTATGTTTAGTGATCACTTCCGGTTGTACATTTCCGTGTTGAGAACCATTCTGAAGTCAGATTTAATAGATCATGTAACAGGGAAATCCTTTCGGCAAAAGTCTTTCACTTCGGAACATTTTAAGTATTGGAATATAATTTCACTTTTACTCCAGAAGGGAATTAGAAAATGTCTATAAAATTAGTTTAATATACGTTACTAAACGCGAAACACCAAAAAAAGGGCGAACAATGTAACTTATGCCCTTCTTCCTCTTTTCTCGTATCAATGACGCAATCTTTTAGTCATTCAACGGTCGAAACAAATCCAAATGAGATCCAAATATTTTGTAACAAAGTAAACTAAATTACAGGTTAACAAAAGATAATCACGACCTATATTTCAGTTTTTGCTTTTAAATCACATATAAAATCACCTTCAAATCAATCACATGCGTCAACTAACCTTGTTGAACTTTATTGTCTCTGACAGATTTGTTTTTCATGCTATAACCTGTGCATCGTAAAATAAGCTGAATTAGCCGTCTACACAGGGCACTCACATACGTTTTGTGCCCAGCACCGACTGTACCCCCCTCCCCCTCTAAAGCCAAAGAACATAGCTGCAAGAATTCGGTTTGTCCGTGCGTGCTTTGAGTGGCTGTTCTAGACGATCAATCATGCAAAGTTTGTAAATGATATCAGGTGGGGTCCTCTTACTTCATTGCTTCTAATGCGTTGTTATAAAGCGTCTATAGGTGATTGTTATTGGTCAGATCGAAGCTTTCAAAGTGGGTCGTTTGCTCTTACTTCTAAACCCCTCCCCTCACTTTGCTCTCCTATATGGTGTGATGCTGATACGCGCTCCATTGAAGAATAAGAATTACATCCAAAGAACAGAGTGAGGTTGCAATGAGAGTTTATCTTGGGTCAGGCGTATCGTTAAATCTAGGATGTGGTGACTTGTCCTAAATTGGTCGGATAAGGGAAACCCATTTGTTTGTGTGTAAGATAGCATGATATCACAATATCATAAGTCCATCTTTGCTTTTAAAGTAAGAACGTAAGACGAATGATGGAACCAGCTACGTTGCTGGACTTTGGGCTGAGGCATGTAGCGAAATGTGTAGTGGGTGTGAGGTGAATGGGCGAATGGTCTGAGAGTCCGTATTAGTAACAGGCAGCCCGGACCAATTTCAATAAGCAGATCTACAAATCTCGTGATAATCCCTTGCTTAGCATACTACAACTTGCTGTGAGCCTAACAATAGGACCTTCTGCATTGGTAATTCTGTCGTGACAGTGCACTTTGCATGTTCGCCGGACAAGCCGATGTTGTCGCTCTCAAATTCCTGTCAAACTTCGTTACGTGGTATAAATAATATGAAAAAAATACGTTCTTGGTGATGTATTTCACGTGCTTTTGACACGCAACAGCGTTAAGATATAACCTGATTTATGTAATTAAACAATTAATTATCTCAGTGGAGAGTCCTGGATTGAGAAGCTAATAGTTGCTCAGCTATGCAAAATATGGAACCGGAGGTTGCATTACCGGATCCTAACTAGAGTCACATGAATCCAACCGACGACTTTTTTATCTTTTATCTCTTAGACACATTTTAGTATTATCCTCTCATTGTTCCACGGTGGTCTAGCGGTTAGAAGGCTGGCCTTGTAAT